GTGTAGCTTAGTGATTATTGAATTACATGAACTTGAAACCTAGTGATTTAGTGAACATTGAATTGCTAGAGCTAGGATCGACCAAAATCTTAGATAGTAATTGAAGTAAATAAATTTGGCTGTGCTAGAGAACATGAATTATGACCATAATTGTGTTTGCTTAATCTTACATAGTAAATTCATAATCTACAACTCATTATGTGTTTGATTGTGTGTGACCATACATAGTTTTACATGAATTAGTTTAATATTGGTAAATTTAGACTTAAATTACTAATACAATAGTAACCAACTTTATAATCCATAATTTTTAGCTAACCATAAATAAGAAGTGGATTCGAACTAAACGAGAGTGTTTTTAGTTACTGATTGAGTTTGAGTTAAGTTCGTCTGATCTGGCAAAATCACATAAAACCTCGTTAAGCTCGTTAATAATTAGGTTAATTTAGTAGTAAATAATTTAATTAGACAATACCGTTCCCTGTGATCGACACCCGACTTACCCAACTATTCTATAATTTTGTCTAGGTACACTGCCTAGGTGCAATTTAGTTAGTAAGGAAGTTAGGTTATAAATATTAAATTAGGTGTAGCTATTTGCACGCATCAATGCTAATCAATCATCCCATATTCATCAGAGTCAAATAAGACGGAAATTATGGTGTGTGCAATGCGATCATCCCGAGTTCTTCCCTTTGATCCGAAAGTACCTGAAACATAAACTGAAAACCGTAAGCATGAAACTTAGTGAGTTCCCCAAAATACCACATACCATACATATTTGCCAGCTCAAGGTTGTGTCGGGTCTATTTCACCCCCGAGTCTATTTCAATTTATGCGTCGGCCCAAAGTCGTATCGGGTCTATTTCACCCCCGAGTCTATTTCACCCTCAAGTCTATTTCAACTCATATGTCAGCACAAGGCTGTATCAGGTCTATTTCACCCCCGGGTCTATTTCACCCCACATACATATAGGAAACAGGCATATATGCATATAACACATACAACAGAAGCCACAAAGACTACAAACACATAACATATCCTAGTGTCCTACAGTATAGTGAGCAAACTCATCTCAGTCTGTTGTCAATTAATAGATGCTCGGGTTGCTGAATCGGAGAATCCCCACACTAACCAACCAAATAAAACCTAATTAATAATTGGGTCATAATTCATAAGCGGGATTCTAGTACATTGGTCCAACACCTAGGATAAAAGACCATTTTACCATTTCCTCAATTGGCTCAATATCCGAGGCCCAAACTCAATGGAACTAAAATCCCAATAGTGGCCCAATTTCCTAAAGGTTACCCAGAGCTCAATATTGGCCCAAATCCAAAAAGGCCCAAAGTCTAACAATGGCCCAAAGTTAGACTGGATAGTGGCCCAACAAGGCCCAAACCCTAATAGTTTGACTATGGCCCAAACCACAAAGCCCAAGACCAAGTCTGGTACGCTGCGCGTACCAGATGTACTCCCAACGTACAAGACGACGTGCTTGATCGGGGACTCGAATGCGTACGCGTCCATTAAGCACCTTTTCCTTAAAGCACTTAATGCTTGCAACCAGACGTCCAAACTACATATCCAAGCCTTGTGGAACATCTTAATTCATAAAGTTATTAACTTGGAGCCTTTGTATGGCTCAAAAGAACTCAAACCCTAGATTTAGCATTTTACTTTCACTAAATGGACATAAACACATGCATGGTTGATCCACAACCATCAAGATGCTCACTTTATGGACTAGGGACCTTAGAAACATCAAGAGAAACAACTCCTAACTTTTGGAGTGGAAGAAACCCACTAGATCTCACTCGTAGGACTAAAAGTGAACAAAACTCCAGAGAACTAGATCTAAGCATACAATAACCAAGTTCCAAGCTTTGTAAATGATGAGTGAAATCTAGATCTACAAGCTTTCCCTTGATCAAAGCTCCCTCTTCAAGTCTCTTCTTCCTCAAGGATCACCAACACACAAGGATGTCAAATCTTTTGTAGATGAGTAAGGGTTTCGAAATAGGGCTCAAAGGGTAATGTAGACTGAGAAATGAGAGGATCATGGGTCATAATGTTGCTTAAATAGGGTCCAAACCCTAAAATTTAGGGTTTGCCCCGTGGGTGTGTACGCCCAGCGTACTCCCACTTTTCTGAAAATGGCAACAATGCCCCCTAGGGACCAAATGTGCAAACTTAATACACACCAAGTATCAAAAATGAAAAGTACCTTGGACCAGGTGTTACAAGTTATCTTAGTCGGATTTCCTAGTACTAATAAATAATGAACAACTAATACAAAGATCATGCAAATTAGTGAACACATAATTAATTAAATATATTTGAACTATGAACGATATGATTTAGAGATTTTTATCAATTATCATGACAATAAATCAACGCATAGAATGGATATCTATAACCGTCTAACACAATCAAGTTACTGATTAATATTACCCAACACTAGGATTTGATCAATCACTAGTCCTAACAACTTAATGATCATAAACTAGTTAAGATTCAAGTTAATGTAACTAGATTGGTTTTCTTAACTACAAATAACTCAACAATAGGCAATAAAAATCATAACTTTAACATGAAAGATGAACAATCAATTGAACACAAGTATTAACCAAACTTAAATAATCCTACTAACGAAATCAAAACATATTAACGAAGGTTCGTCTACATCTAGTGAAAGTAAAGGTTTTTACACCATAATTAGTAAACTAAAGCATAAAAACATCATAAAAAGATTGTGAGACATGATCATCAAGCAAACTCGAAGTGAAATATCGATGTAAATAGTGCTTGAATCTTCAAATCCTTGCTCCAATCGACTCTCTAGCTTCGAAATCGACTCTAAAGGGTTTCTGGAAGTCAAAATCAACTTATAACTTATTGTCTAAGGCTGCCAATGGCTACACACCGATTAGGGTTGAGAATCTCTTATTTTTATAGTTTTTGCGACACCACGACGTGGTAAAGGTCTCACCATGACGTGGTGGCCGAGTTCCTATTTTTGCACACGAACACCTTCTAAAAGGGTGTGACATGTCTTTTGCTGATTTTAGCGCTTTTGTCATTTTTCGTCCGTTCCAGCTCCATTTGCATCCCAACTTTGATTTTAACTGTATTTAAACATTTCAAAGCATAATAAGTATCATATATCTTAAAATATAACATCTTAATCAAATATATTGAGATAATGGCCTACAATATATAGTTAAATAAGGTCATATCATGGCTCATCTGGTCAGTGGAATCATGTGTCATTAATAACATTATGCTTTTGATATTAGTAACTGTTATAGTACAATATCAACTAAATTTAACACCAATACCAACTTCATTCAATATAAATATCAACTACATTACATCAGATGAAGTAAATACATTATCCATAATGATTCCAATAACAATACCAACTAAATTTCACTTTATTACATAAGATTACAACTTATTTTAACCCTATCAATACGTAAATTCTTCTTCAGCTCATTCACTTCTTTCTTGAGACATGAAAAGTCCTCTTTAACAGCTACAAGCTCATCTTAAAAAATTAGGGTCAATTTGACATGTTCTTTAGCTACCTATTGCAAAAAATTGCACTTTTTACATGTTTTCTTCAATAACAAATAACAAATTATAAGCAAGTAAAAAATGAAGGTGAATTCAAAAAGAACAAAAAACTTATTTGCTGAAAAACGGTTAAAATCGACATACCAATACCAATGAATTATGGAAGACTCTAAACTTTTTTACAGGGTGTTCTTTTTTATGGGAAGTGTCAAGTCGAGTTGGAAGGAAACAATCATAAAGAATCTTGTTGTTTGCTATGAAGATAGATGAAACCAAAGCCAAAGACATCTTCTTGGAGAAAACTAGGACATCAATATTATTTGACCGATTCGTAAATTAGGTTACTGATATAAGTGAGGGACGAGCCACGTATGAGAACACTTCATTAATAATTGTCCCACGTATGATGTCACTTAAGCAAAACTTGAAGAAACTTGTCATAATGACTGAATGTGTACAAAACAACAAATGTTTATTTTACAAAAAAATAATAATAATAATAAGGTTTAAACGTGTAAATTTAAGAACTTAATATGGATTAGTCGGTCTTAAGGATTTAATATGTACAAAACAAAAAATTCAATGATATATTTTACAAGACAAAAACAATAAAAAATAAAGAATAAACTTATTATTATATATATATTAAAGTTGTGGAAGAAATGAATAGTAAACTTGGGATACTTTGTCCAAGTTTGGTCCCTTGATTTACATATCCGGTCCCTATACTTCTTTAATTAATTTATTCATGTCCTTTTGTTTGTGTTCCATTCAACTTCCCATTTTTTTGGCAGAATTGGTCCCTGTATTATTGTTGGAAGTTAGGAATACTAAATTTGGATGTTTTTTGGCAACTTTGGTCATTATTCTTTACCCATTTTGACACTTTTGGTCCTTGCAATCAATATTTTTACATTTTTTTGGAACCTTTTAATATTTAAAGTTTGGCCACAAAACTTTAACGGTTTGACAACTTTGATCCCTTTTCTAAAAAATTGTTAATTCTTACCCCTTTAATTCTTTAGCCATTTTCACACTTCTGGTCCTTGCAGTCAAAACTTTTACATTTTTTGTCCGGGGCAAAGCCCGGACTTTTCATCCTTGCACTTTCTATGTCTGTCATATTTATCAATTCGGAAACAACATTGAAAGCTTCTGGCCCCCGCGTAGCGGGGGTAACCTTTCTAGTACAAAATAAAAACTATACTAGCCTCTTAGATCGATTTCCTTTTTTTTTTCAAGATCTTTTTAAATTAAAAAATAATAAAAAAAAAATCCAACTCCCTTATTTGTATATTTGTAGATAAAAAATTATAACTTTTCTAAAACAAAATAAGATAATCTTTAAAAACTTGGGTTAAATGAGAAGTGGGCCAGTGTGGTGGTGGGGGGTAAAATGGGGAGTACATGAAAAGTTAAGATGCGTGTACTAAACGGGGGGGACCTAAATGCCCTCTTTTTGAAAGAGAGAAAAAACCCTAATTTTTTAAGATCCGATACGATACCCCTATCATTCTTCGTTCCCCAATTGTGCCCTTCCCTGCCCTTTTTCTCTGCCGTTCCCTCAGCCCTCTTTCAGGTATTTCACATCTCACTCGCCCCGCCAAATTCAATTCCCATCTATCCCCCTTTTACACCCACTCCAATTTCAAACGTTCATACCATAATCATTTGATTGTTCTTTTACACTCTCCAAATTATGCCTCTCTTCTCACCATCTGTTTGTCTTTTGCAGGTTCCTTTAGCCTTTTGTTCTTGGAACTGCCAGTTCTTCCCCGAATTTGGTGTTTCTTATCGCGTGATCCTTTGGGATTTTGGTAGGTCTTCCAATTGTTTGTTATTCGACGTATTTGTGTTTTTGGTTGTGTTGTTTTTTGTGTGTTATCGTTGAGTTTTTGTTCTTCAACCTACTTTTATTCTCCAGATCTTTAATTTCGCTCTCGCCGTTGCCACGGTTTTAGTCTTGGTGCGAAATTGTTATCTTATTTACACTAAATTTAAAGCAAACATGATCATATGTGCAATGAATTTAATGCATATATCGGTTCTTTTCGTGAAATTTTAAAATCTATATTAATTAGTGAAGTAGAAAGTAATCTGATTGATACTCTATAGGTTGATGTAACTCTCTTTTTTCTGTAATTGAGGGCGTAATTTGTTATTGTTGGATGTCTGCAAGTTAAGGAGCGTTTGGATATGCGGTTTTTAAGTTGCAACATGAAGAATTAGACAAGGATAGCTACTAACTTTAAGTTATCCCAATAATCGGTTTTCACAGCTCCTTACAACCTTTTTTGTCAGTTTATTTTGACTTTAAACAATCACAAAATCAGAATCATAATACGTTTTTTCCAAACAGTCTAAACTAATCATTGCAAGTTGATACCCTGATACAGCTTTAAACGCTCACCAAAACCCCTAACAATTGGTGAAAGATAATTAATGAATTATTATGTATGCTAATTGATGTAGCTGCTTATGGTTTTGATGAATCAAAGAGTTGAAGATTACTGATTGTGGATTATTGTGCTAATCGAAGATTTTGTTGTAACAGACTATTTGATGTTTCTTATCTTGTGGATTCGAGAGTTCTTCTGAAAGTGTTGTGGATAATTCACCATGGAAAACCATGAGATGATGATTGGGCCAAGACCGAATATATCACTGGTTCAAAACCAGCAGCTGGGATTAAGACATGGTCAGAATTTGGTAGTCGGGCAGAATCAGAATCACAATATGCAATTAGGGCATCCCCACAAGCATGAAAATGGTAATCAAGATATGCATTTAGACCGTGATTACATGACAGCTATACCACATCCACAAAACCTCGGAGATGCAACCGAGTTTGATGACAGCAATCATCATCAAGACAACAGATACAACGAAAATGATGAAGAGGGTGATGATAATCTCGATCATCATATCAATCAAGACACAGTCAAAAACCATGATTCACAATTAGTTTTATCCGAAAACCATGGTTTAGCAGTTGTAGACGAAAACCTAGACATCATGGTGCACCAACACCCGCACCATGAAATGGGTCTGGTTCCTATATCGGTTCAGCATCCGGAAGTTGTGGTGACAACACCCGTGATCCAGACCCGAACATTAGTCCCTTCACCAAACTATGAACTAATGGTGGGTCAAGAATTTCCTGATGTTACAAGCTGTCGAAGGGCACTAAGACACACTGCTATCGCGCTCCATTTCGAGATCCAAACCGTTAAATCCGACAAGACACGGTTCACCGCCAAGTGTGCGAGCGAAGGCTGCCCGTGGAGAATCCACGCCGCAAAGCTGCCCGGGGTGCCCACTTTTACAATCCGCACCATTCATTCCGAACACACGTGTGGTGGAATCGCGCACCTTGGCCACCAACAAGCTTCGGTCCAATGGGTCGCGAATTCGGTCGAACAACGGTTGAAAGAAAACCCGCAATGTAAACCGAAAGAGATTCTTGAAGAAATTCATCGTGTTCACGGGATTACATTATCATACAAACAAGCCTGGAGGGGTAAAGAGCGGATCATGGCTGCTTTACGGGGTTCTTTTGAAGACGATTACCGTTTTCTCCCTCAATATTGTGACCAAATTAGACGCACGAATCCCGAGAGTATCGCGTCTGTTTATGTAAACCCTACGGACAACTGTTTTCAACGGTTGTTTATCTCTTTTCAAGCTTCGATTTACGGGTTTTTGAACGCGTGTAGACCGTTGCTCGGGCTCGATCGGACCGTTTTAAAAAGTAAATATCTCGGGACGTTACTTTTTGCGACGGGTTTCGACGGTGACGGGGCGTTGTTTCCGTTAGCTTTTGGGGTTGTAGATGAAGAAAATCACGAAAATTGGAATTGGTTTTTATCAGAATTACATACTTTGTTAGAAATAAACACGGAAAATATGCCGAGGCTTACATTTTTATCGGACAGACAAAAGAATATAGTCGAGGGGGTGGAATCGAAATTCCCAACCGCTTTTCACGGGTTTTGTATGCGACATTTGAGCGAAAGCTTCCGGAAGGAGTTTAACAACTCGATGTTGGTCAACCTTTTATGGGACGCCGCTAACGCGCTAACTGTCATGGATTTCGAATCGAAAATTCTTGAAATCGAAGAGATTAGTCAAGAAGCCGCGTATTGGATTCGACGGATTCCCGCACGGTTATGGGCCACCGCGTATTTCGAAGGGACCCGGTTCAGTCATTTGACGGCGAACATAGTCGAATCGTTTAACGCGTGGATTCTAGAAGCTTCCGGGCTTCCGATAATCCAAATGATGGAATGTATACGGAGACAGTTGATGACTTGGTTTAACGAGAGACGTGAAGCGAGTATGCAGTGGACATCGATTTTGGTTCCGAGTGCGGAAAGACGGGTCTCGGAGGCGATTGACCGAGCCCGGACTTATCAAGTTCTTAGAGCAAACGAAGCGGAATTTGAAGTTATATCCCATGAAGGGACGAATATTGTTGATATTAGGAACCGGTGTTGTTTGTGTCGTGGGTGGCAGTTGTACGGGTTGCCATGTGCTCACGCAGTGGCGGCTCTGCTCTCGTGCCGCCAGAATGTTCACCGATTGACGGAAAGTTTTTTCACGGTGGCGGCGTATAGGAAGGCGTACTCGCAAACGATTCATCCGGTTCCTGATAAAACACTTTGGAAGGAAATGAGTACGGGTGACATGTCACTAGCGGAAGGTGGTGGTGGTGGTGGTGGTGTGACGGAAATTGTTATTAATCCTCCGAAATCTCTCCGGCCACCGGGGAGGCCGAGGAAGAGGAGGGTGAGATCGGAGGATCGGGGGCGGGTGAAGCGAGTCGTGCATTGTAGTCGGTGCAATCAAACCGGCCATTTTAGAACAACTTGTTCGGCGCCTATATAAATATATTTGAAATCGGTATGGGTAGAGTATATTATTAATTTTTTTTTTAATGTGAAATAAGGTGAGTTTTGAATAATCTTTTTTAAGATGTGATAATGGTGTGTTAGTTTAAGAGTATATATTGGTTAACTTTGTAATATTTTAGGGAGTATAAGATATATGGTGTTTAAGGCTATCTGTATGTAGTGTAGCATCTGCTATGTGAATATTATATAAAGTGGTGCAAATTTGCTTTAAAATAAGCAAATTTTGGGTTGAGTCGTGTTTGTGATAGCATTTGTGAACAAGTTCATGAACAGATAAATAGAAGTGATGAAACTGCAACTTTTTAGACTTTCAGAACATTCATAATCTGAAAAGTGAAAACGATTATCCAATAATCTCAAACTTAAACAAGCTCAATGAGACGATTCAAAAGTCTAAATAACATCTTGCCCTTGGAAGATACGAAATTTACAACCTTAAGTCATGGTGTTGTTTAAATCAGTTTTGGTGAAATTGAACAGTTCTTTTCGTAGAAGAACACACTGGTCCGCATGTATTTTCAAGTCAATTCTTATGTCATCTAAAATATATTTTAGTTTCGTTCATTTTAAGACTAAATTTACCTTGAAACTATGTACTAAAGCACAACATTATAAGTGATTTACACAATGTATAGTGAAGTTAAGAATAAACAATAATAAATACACACACAAAGAACACAACACTTAACGTGGTTCGGTCAATGTAACACATGTCCACCGGGCAAAAAGGGTATTCTTATTCACGAGCTTGAAAAACGATAGTGCTATATAAACCTTAGCTTTTAGCCATATTATATAGGCAAAGTACAAAACATAACCCTAACTAAAACAACAGGGTCGAACCCAACTATACAGATCAACACACGTCCATACCACTGGGGCTGAGCCCCATGAGATATCGGGTGTCGGGTTTCTTTACTTTGTTCAGACGGATACCAATTCTTAAGCCATATTTGACAAATTGACAAAAAAATATCCCAAAATAATCGAAGTTCAAATATTTTTCCAACTTATGTTAAAAGACATAAAAGACAATGCGTATAGAGCTCTTATTGCATTATTTAAGATCGGATTCATCCGACTTCACTGAGTTCAACTTTATAAGGACTCAACTCGAGATTAATAACTTTTGTATATATAAATCATTCAGTTGTTCTAAAAAAAATCTAGCTTCTTGAAACATGTTTTAGCTAGCATAATAATTGCATATATTTTCAAGCTATATTTCAAATAATTGAGTTTGCTCTATCAAATATAAGTTTTCACTAATATTTTCGATATTCTATTCGATTCAAATCTTCAAATTAAGAAGACTTGTTGAGCTATCAAATTGAGTTCAAACTTAGTTTAATATACTGCTCTATCAGAGTTTAAGCGGTTATAGTACGAAATTACATGTCCTAAATATTAATAGGTTTACCGTTCTTGTAACTTAAACATATTTACCTTCTAATAATTATTATTATCGATAGAATTATATTTCTTAAAACATCTGACCACACAATAAAATAAATTTAATTTACTTTCATTCACCTATGAAACGATTTCCCTCTTCCATCTCCCTCGCTCTCAAATTCATCTATTCTGCAACTTTTAGATCCAAAAATTTCCTCCCATTCATCACCTTCCCCTGCAACACAAATCCAAATCTCAAAATTTAAAATTTAAACTCAAACATGGAGAAATGTGAAGAAATTGCATGGGAATTGAAAGAATTTTTTACATCCAAAATTCTCCCTTATCTAGATTATCTTAACACCGTTCTCAAAGAATATCTAGATTATCTTTACGACCATGATAAACCCACCTACGCACAAATCATCTTCGCATCTTTAATCGGTTTGATCATTGCTGCCGCAATGCACATTCGTCTCAGAAAGTTTCGGACTCAGAAGATCATTCCATGGATTCGTGTTGGTGTCTCAAAGGCCCGCCAGCCATTGAAGCTCGAGAGATTCCCTCATTATGTAGGTATAAAAACCGTCCACCATTAACTAAAATCATTTCGTGTATTTGAAATTCGTGTTTATGTGTCTGTATGAATGAATTCAGCTCGGCAGATGGGTTTTGGTGATGTCCAACAATGTCCGTACCTCTGCAAATTAGCTTCCGATTACATTAGGAAAGAAGAAGGATGTGAAGAAGACATGTATTCGTTCTTTGTAGACGATCCATTTGCAGATACATTGTTCATAAAACTTGTCGAGGAATTTGAGAGATGTATTCTCAGTTACTTTGCGTTTCATTGGAGCCATGCTTCTTACATGATCAGTCAGGTACAATTACAAAACGCGTAAGTTTCGTTTGGTGTTTTGGATCTACTTTTTTTGAAAGTGATTATCGATTACTGAAATTTCAGGTGTTGGGACCTGATACACACGAGCCAAAAAAGAAGCTCAAGAACATAGTCATGCAAGCCACAAGGTACGATCTTTTGGAAATTGAATCCACGAATCATTCAGTTGAATGTAAATGATATTGTGATGTTATAAAATTTTTTGAAATGAGACAGGGAACAAAGATTCGAAAGGGTGACAAAGAACCTGAAAGTGGCAAGAGTGTTCACGACATTAGTGGAGGAGATGAAGGCAATAGGCCTTGTTTCACCAGACGATTCACAGTGTACTGATGTTATGGTTCCAATGGCACACAAAGATCGTAGTCCTCTTCTTCTATTCATGGGTGGGGGCATGGGAGCAGGAAAGAGCACTGTTCTTAAAGAACTTCTTAAAGAGTAACACCCTTTTTTTCTTGTTTAACATAAACGATGTCTGAATAAATTATGTTGTATGAAGATTTATGATGTTGGTTGGTGTTGAATGTGGACAGACCATTTTGGGCAGGAGCATCAGCAAATGCTGTTGTGATAGAAGCAGATGCCTTCAAAGAGTCTGACGTCATTTACAGAGCTCTTAGCTCCAGAGGCCACCATGATATGCTTCATTCAGCTGAGCTGGCATGCCCCCTCTCTCTTTCTCTATTTCTTTTGCAAATATATTACCTATCATGGGCCATTCAGTTACAAAACAAGACTTTTGTGACTGAATTCTCTCGGTCACAATTAAATTAAGAGTAACAGTAACAGTCATAGTCTGGGAATAAATAGATGATGGATGACAGGTACATCAATCATCTACGGATGCAGCATCATCACTCCTTGTAACAGCATTGAACGAAGGTCGAGATGTGATCATGGATGGAACCCTGTCGTGGGTCCCATTCGTTGTGCAGACGATAACCATGGCAAGAAATGTACACCGCAAACATTACCGTATGGGACCAGGTTACAAGGTGAATAGAGATGGAAGTGTTATTGAGAACTATTGGGAACAACTTGATGAAGAAAATGAGTTAATTGATGGTAACAAGAAAAGAAGACCATATAGAATAGAACTTGTCGGTGTTGTTTGTGATCCTTATTTGGCTGTCATAAGAGGCATAAGGTAAAATTAGTTAAACCCTTTTAATACATCTCATTTACATAAAATTAACCAAATTTCAGTTTGAGGTAAATTGGGCGAGTTCAACGGGTTGGATAACAGGTCAAATACAGTTGTGATTATGTACATTACTTTTTTTGGCCGGGGTATAGTTATTTTTTGCAATTTTGTCCAAAAAAAGTTCACTTGAAATATGGGGCTTTACTTCAACGTTTTTATTTTAATATGTTCCAAGTAATATTATAATATTGGTGGGACCAAAATTACAAAAACTAAATATAATCACGGACCAAAAGTAGTCATTTTATATGGAACATCAACCAAAAATATTATAAAAACCTCAAAATACCAAATTTGCTAAAGAAAGAGTTATTGTGACTGAAAATTGCAAACATCAATTATACTCGGAACTAAAAATATAATTATCTATTTTTTTATGTTAACAGGAGAGCCATTATGTGCCGAAGGGCTGTGAGGGTCCGGTCACAGTTAACATCACACAAGCGATTTGCTAAAGCGTTCATGACATACTGTCAGCTTGTAGACAATGCACGATTATATCTAACTAATGCGTTAGAAGGACCACCCAAGGTAAATTGTATAATCCGAGGTTAGCTGCTTCCATTGTTTTTGCTTTTTGGGTTGGACGAATGTACAATTCTATCTCATCTCGATAACTTCGGTCTCATATCTCATATCGAACACCAGATAAAGTTGTTTGTTGTCTTGTAATGAAAAATATGTGTTTAAAGTTGATAGGATGGAAAGATAAAGACAAAACGTTATTGGTCGATCCAGACGAAATAAAAATCTTGAAGACAATTGAAAGGTTGAATGAGAAAGCAGATTCAATATACGAACTTTATAAGCAACCCAACCCAGCATTCAAACGTGGTTCGGTTTGGAAAGACATTGTGATGTCACCTTCAAGGTTAAGTATCCAGAAAGAGCTCAAGTATTCCATTCAGAAAGCTGAAGATTTAAAAGAACAATGAAATTTTAAAATCAAATAAGAGAAATGTCTTTTTCGTTAAATTGTATTTAAACAATTCATATATGCTGAACCATGAAATTTTATAGTATATAACGTAATTCCTTGTGATTAACGCACGCAATATAACCAAGTGGACCTTCAGTTATCGATTAAGACAAATATGTAACAGTCAAATTATGTTCTATTAAATAGATTAATTGAAATGGAGAAAACAAACTTCACTTAATAACACAAATAAATCAAACGTTGTGAATGTCAAATTGATCGAGAAAATCAATACATCGAGACTGAAAATTTGTAAATCTTTTCATGGGGTTTGGAGCTAAGAATCACGACAGACCCATGGTTTACCAATTGAAAAATTTACAAAACAAACCCTAAAAACAAACATAAATTCACTAACAGTCCCTATAGTTCAACACTCACGTTCATTTCTTCCCTTTCTTTGTCGCTGCCTTTTTCGGAGCAGCTGGCTTCTTAGCTGGCGTTTTTTTCACGGCAGGTTTCGCTGCAGGCTTTGGGACCTCAGCGGCTCTTCCCGGCGTGGATCTAGTCGATGTCTTCACGGATTTAGCTGCTGGTTTCGTTGGAGTCTTCGGCTTTGCGGCTGCATTAGATTTAGCAGCAGGTTTAGCCTGGGGAGCCGGAGCTGCTTTAGGCTTAGCAGCTGGCTTAGCCTTTTGAACCGGAGCTGCCTTTGGCTTGGCAGCCGGAGCTTTGGCTTTGGCTTTAGGTTTAGCTGGAGCTTTGGCTTTCGGAGCGGCAGCGGCAATATTTTCCTTAGCCGGCGTTTTCTTAACAGCAGGCTTCTTCACAGCTGTCTTCGGCTTCTTCGCCGGAGCAGATGCATCAGCCGTTGCAGGTGTATTCTTGGGTGGTAATTTGAACGATAACTTGACCTTCACAAGTTTACCGGCGTCGGCCTCCTTATTCAATCTATTGAGCAACAATTTCTTGTAATTCGCCGGAAGATTCTTGTATTTCTCTTCAATAAATTTCGAGATTGCTTGCACACTCGAACCGTTCCTCTCCTTCAACGAAACGATGGCGTCCTTAATCATCTGCACAATCAAGTAAACAGAAAATCCGATGAATAATTCAGGTTATCAAACAATGGAAATCCAAAATTTAAACAAATAAATGAAAACGAAATGTGAATCAAACCTCGGAGTATTGAGGATGCAAAGGAGCATCCTTCGTCTTGGGAGCAGATGGCTTCTTAACTTTCTTAACTTTAGTCGCCTTTGCGGCTCCTTTGGCGGCCGGCTCCGTCGCGACTATTGGTTGTTCCGTTGCCATTTCAACTAGGATTAGGTTAGGGTTCGGGCAATGACAGATCAGCGATTCTCAGATTCGCGGGTATGTCATGATGCTGGGATAGCTGAGTATTTAAATAATCCAACTCTGGTATTTGATTGGTTAATTGAGTCATCACACGGATCGGCGCCTTTACAACATTTTGAATGTGAGACGTTAGATGGTTGTAAACCAACGGCTGAGAACACAAGACGAGTAAGTCATGGGATTGAAGTTAAAATTAGGGTTTGAGTAAAAGTTAGGGTGTGTTTCCATGGTCGATTCATCTAAGCATAACTCCAGCTACACTTGATAGATTTTAATAAAATTTTGATTCTTTTGTTGGAAATATTGTTAGCTTTTAAGGGCATATACTCATTGATGTTGGTTTTTATTCTGGAAGATACTAGATTTCAAATTTAAAGTGGTCGAAGATAGAAACACTCGTATGTATCACAAACTCGAGTGTTTTTAATCGAGTGTTCAAATATGTCGTGAGATTTTAACATGTGATAAAACCCCCCTCTGACATGTATCACAACATGTGATAAAATCCCTCTCTGACATGTATCAGCAATATCTAATACTCCTCACAAGTTCGGATGTAACATCCCCCTCTGACATGTATCATAATATTGTCCACTTTGGGCTCCCGCCACGAAAACTTCCCAAGGGGTCACCCATTTCTGAATTGCTCTTGCCCGGGCATGCTTAACTACAGAGTTCTTATGGGATATGCTGCCCTCACGACTTTAAAACGTGTTGTAAGGCGGACAGGTTAGCAACACCTGATCTCACATCAGCTGGGAAGGAGAACTAAACATTCCTTAAAAGGGTGTGGATACCTTCTCTGTCACAATGCGTATTAAAGTCGTGAGGGCAGCAGATCCCATAAGAACTCTGCAGTTAAGCGTGCCCGGGCGAGAGCAATTCAGGGATGGGTGATGCCCAGGGAAGTTTTCGTGCCCGGAGCCCAAAGCGGACAATATGAGTGCCAGAGTGGGGTGTTACATCGGAAGCGTAAATGTTATGCTGGTAAGAAAATAATCATCATGTTAGTGGCAGCATGATTATTATGGTAAGTATTACAAGTTAGCAATATTAATTATATAAAACAAAGATTCACTTTGCAAAGTTGCAAGGGTTGAAAAGTTGTTTTGCTATAATTAAGGGAGAGAATATTATACTTCGTTTCAAAATTCTAAAGCTTAGAACGAGAAACGTTAATAAATTTAGTCAAGGTACATAGTGCATTCTCAAAATTCGATTATGATTACGGCATCCCTCTTCATAGTTCGAATTATGGGAACATGGCACATAAAATATTATGGCAGAAGGCTGATAAAGTATCACGTCTTTATGTGAGACATTATGCATCATGTCCAATACGCTTCGGGTATAGGATCGATTGCATATGCTATAATATTTGACCATTCTAAAATTTTCCAAATGCCTAGGGCATTAAGAGGGAAAAAGGACCATAATCAGTTTTGACTAAAATAATTAACCAACTATAAAAGGACGATCTGAGGTTCACTGATGATTTGTCGCTTGTGAGTAGTTGGAAGTATAGTACTGGATGGACTATATTCTATTAAGAATGAGTTGTCATATGGCAAATATGGAAATATTTCTATTAATGGGAGTTGGATATTAAGAAATATGTCTAGATTAGAAACTTTTATGCGAGAAGGATGTTCAAAGGAATGTACTTTGAATGTGAGACTTCACGTCTATGGAATTGTCTTGTAACAATTTCCGATAGAGTACTTTGTGATTTCATTGGCCAAGTCTTGATGACTTTTGTGCTATGACTTTACGAAAGGATCGTTGCATAAAATGTTAGAATCTGACATATTCTAAAAGTAGCAAGAATTTGGTATTCTTATACCAATAATAAGGATTGGGGATTGTGAAATGAGTTTCATTGGAAAAGTTTTTCAATTGATCTATTTCACAAAGTATGGACCATAGGAAACCAAAGTGTGCATGCTTGGAGCATGGGACAATTGTGGTTATACTTCGAGTAATAAGTTGATTTTCTGAAACAGTAAGCAATGAATAACGAGTAATCAATATGGTGTTTAAATAAAAGTGTTTTTATTTACGCTCAAAAGTTTTGGGGCTATATAGGATTAATATTATTATTGTGTTTCACTTTGCATGTTTTGACTTCCAGAATAACTGGGTTATTCGAACCTCCACAGTCGGTCATACCTTGGAAGTAGGTATGAAGGAAGACTATCATGTATCTGTCTGTAGATTGTCTGAAGTGTTTAGACATAGCACAAGTTTGCTGCAGAGTTCATGAGTGCTTTGATAAGATTAAAGTATTGGATTAAACCCACGCTCACTGGAATCACTTCATGGTTTTTTATCACGAGTAATTGTGAGACAATAATATTGTATATTCTTGAAACCAAGACGTGTGAGTTGTTACTTGCTGATCGGTTGCACGTTGATGATAAGTAAACGCACCAGTAACTTGGTGTTATAAAACTTATTGTTGTGTGTGATCCGATTAGTAGGTGCAAGAAAGCATTTGAGTCGAAGTTTATCCATTCCTTTTACCCAAAGTGGGATAAAAGCGATATATGTGGGCCTCTCGATGATTTAGTGATGACACCCTAAGCGCTTGGCCAAGCCGAGACTAAGTTGATGTGTTCAATTATAGTCTGTTGTCAGTCGTCATAAATCGGAAGTCGGGAAACAATATAGAGAGAATGATCGAAATTCATGTCTTGTGTCTATACGATATCTTGAGAATGGAGAAATATATAATCCCTTATCTAAAGGACACGCGTATCTGATAAGATCAGAGTTGACAACGACTTTTGAAAGCTACGATTGCTGATCAGGTTTTGAAGTTATGCAAAATAGTTATTAGACTTATCCAAGTGGGAGACTGTTGGATTAGTGTTCTAAGTCCATAACTATTTTAGTATGTACTTGACCCAATTATGAGCATGGTCCTTTTGGGTTGCCTTCACCATAGCAATACGTAGGATGAATTAAGGAGAGAAAGGTTTAATTATGATCTATTAATATATTATAAGAATAATATATTAAAGGAGAAATCATATTGTTTAATTAATACTAGTCAATAATTAATTAAGAATTAATTTAGTGGCTAAAAGAGATTAATTAAACTTAGGGGACTGGATTTGTAATTATAAGATAATTGCAATTGAGTTATGGATTACCTAAATAATCTAGGTTGGACGAATTCTATGGGAAGCCCATAAGGAATTCGTCCAAGAGATATGTTAAAGGAGTCCATGGGCTGCTTAGGGCTTAAGCAGCCAGATTAGGGTTTCTTAGTTGTAAACCCAAATAGCCTACATGTATATAAAGGACCCTTAAGCCCCAAAAACGGGGACAAGTAATCCTTTAGGGTTTCCAGCCGTTTTTGGTGCCTCCTCTCTCCTCCCTCTTCATCAAAGTTGCCTAGTGGTGTTTGTGACTTCATTAGAGGTGCAACACTTGAGGCACTAAGCTTTCTAAAGCCAATCAAAGCAAGGATTGATTGTTATTGCTATATAACAATCAAAGGTAATTACTAAACCCTTATTTCAGTTATTATTTGATAGATCTAGGGTTTATAGCTTTGGATATTCAATTGCATGTTCATTAGACAAACTAGATCCAAAAGCTATTAGGGTTTGCATGTACACCATAGGAATGATGTATTGCTCGAAACCCATCACTTTGTCGGTGTGAAGGAGAGGGGGGGGGGATATAAAGTGGTGGAAGGGAAACACCGGTGGAGGAATGTGAGGGTTCTTGAATCACAGAGAAGGAACACCGATGCTTGATTTTGAAGATTGAAGTCGGCTAGGGTTTTGAATTTTATAGGAAACGAGGGGGAATGGAGGAGGGTGAGGAAAAATTATAGAGGAGAAAAATCAAACTCGGTAAAATTAAATCCAGAAATCGACAAGAACGATTTCAAAAATTCGAAGAATGAGAGAAAAAAATAAAGGAGGAGGAAGAAGAAAGGTTTGGTAATGATGGTTGTTGATGAAAACAGCGAGCAAGAAGGTAAGGTCGGGAGGATAGATATGGATTTCCGCAAAGGTGTGCTGGCGGTCATCAGACCTAAGGAACCATGGAGTCGCCGGAGTAAAAGGTGATGGTGGCTCTGGTAGAGTGCCAGAGATCCGGTAGGGTGCCAGAGATGGTGCTGGAGGTGAAGAGGCACTGGGACGTGAGAAAGAGACTTGGGGTAGTCATGGATTTAATTTGTTAAATAATTATTTTAATAAATTAATAATATAAATTTATATAATAAATAAAATAATTAAAAAATTAATATTAAGGGCAAAATAGTTTTTTTTAGGGTGATAGGGACCAAACGAGCAATAAAAGTAAACAGTAGGGACGGTCCGAGTTAAAAAGAAAAGTTAGGGAGCAAACGCGCAAATTACCCTAAACCACAGGGACCATTCGTGTAATTTACTCTATTTTTTGCAATCTTATCTTTTGCATTTAACGATGATTTTTTTCGCACCCGATATAGTGACTTATATCTTTCATTAAGATTGTCATGACATTAGCTTTCTCCTTCTCTTTTGCAACACCCATATAGTGCTTCAAATTAGTTTTTAAGCTGTCAATCTCGATCGTAATTTTACCTATGTCACTCGAACTACTTGCGACCCCTTTACGTTTTTCTTGATCTCTTCCCATGGGATGACTAGGTCTTAGAACCTCAACATGCTCATCTTCGTTTAGGTCAACCCCGACATGTGTATCCGACGGTTAACTATGAATGATTTAGGATGTTTTGGTCGTGAATGATTCCGAAGTTTGGATATCTTGTCACTTTTTGGACTCCTTCACAATATTCCAAAAATCTAGAAATTTTAAAGTTGTCCCATTATCATGCTGGTAAAGTGCTAGAGCTTTTTGGAATATTGTTTCATCGTTCGCACCACTTTACCATTTGTGCTTCACGTTCACAAATATAACATTAAATTCAATGAAAACTTTGTTGGTATTCCACCACTTTGAGTAAATTTGATCTTTTTTCGATAGTCTCCAAGCTTAATTTATGATATAAAACACCTTGTCTCTTTTCGGTAAAAATTTAGCGCAACTTGGTTCTTCTTGACTTTTGCGTCTATTGAAACATCCACCCATACACATGCCAACGCCTTCTCTTCCTCCGATGTCAAATTCTTAGAAGGTGCATTTCCTTTTTTCTTAAGTTCAGGTTGAGGTTGAACATCTTCAGTCTCATAATCCGTTTTGGGGTTCAGATTGTTCCAACGGTTTGGGGAATGTTCTCAAATGGGTTAAAATCATTTTCTAATTGGGAATGTGATTGTGAAACTGAAATTGGAGTTAGGATTGTGATTGGAATTGGGGCTGGGATTGGAATACAGGTTGAGATTGAGATTGAATAAGATATGGAGTGTAGTATGTACCGACACCGGGATAATGGAAATTAGTATGTGAATTATAGGACGATCCATTTGATTTTGGAAGATATGTGATGAAAGGTTTGAAGTGGTTGTATTTTGGGTATTTTTTTTTGTTTCTTATTGGTGTCTTTTGGTTGGATAGGGATTTGGAAGAAGTCATTTTACAAAAATAAGAAGAGTGTTTTGGTGAAAAATTGAAGAAGGTTGTGTTAAAAAAATCAGATAGTTGTTTGTATTTATAATGGGTGAAAAAAGAATTAAAATTTTGAAATTTTTATGAAAAAAACGGGTATATTTTTGAAAAAAAAAAATGAATATATTTTAAATTTTTTGAAAAGTTGGATTTTCTCTCTCATCGAATAGGCATTGCCGAGTTGGGTTTCCAAGCTCGACATGCCGAGTTCGTGGTGCGGTGTTCACCGAATACATCTCAACATTGCCGAACCACTCCTCAGCCTAAAACCAAAATCATTTTTTTTTTGGTTTTAATGTGTAGGAAAACTAAACCGTTTGAGTTTTTATTTTATATATTTTTTTTGATATTTTTATAAATGATGTTAAAATAAAATAAAAGATAAGTGGTTTAACAAAAGAATAATACAATAACCATAATACATGTTTAATATAAATACATCTTAATATGGGAGGGGTTGCAATAAAATAAACCGTTTGAGTTTTTATTTTTTATTTCTTTTGATATTTTTATAAATGATGTTATAATAAAATAAAAGATAAGTGGTTTAACAAAAGAATAATACAATAACCATAAATACATGTTTAATATAAATACATCTAAATACATGTTTAATATAAATACAACTTAATAACCATAATACATGTTCAATGAAACTGGAAAAAGTTTTTGTGAAACCAATTATGTTCGATCAATTCAAATTAAATTGGTAGGATTTTATGTTTGATTTGGATTCGTACTTAGTTTTGATTTATGTTTAGTTAGCGTTTAATTTTGATTTATGTTTAATTTTGATTTTTTATAATTATTCATGAGGTTGGTTCAATTACTCTATATTACAAAAACATTGAAAATTCAACAAAAAATAATACAAAAGCCAAAGAGTCACTCATTCGATTAAACTTATATATAAAACGTCATTTAAAATACTTGGGTTTTATATGAAAAGTTAGAACCCAATATAAAAACCTGTTTATATAAATGTCAAAACCAAACCATCAATTGTTTATAAGGGTTTGAATTTCCTACTATGACCTTTTTAGTTTTGGGTTTTGTTCGGCAAAACTAATTGTTAACAGGTAGTTGGTAGTTGATTGTGTTTTGTTAAAAACTACGTGAGATAGATTTTATATTTGTAGTGTTTTGTTTAAACTAAACGCTAAAAATTTATAGTATCAAACGAGACTTTTTATTTAAAACGAAACATTTTGTCAGACAATAAAAAAAATAAAAGCTTTCAAACGCCTACTTGCCAAACCAACCATTTAATTTGGACTTTTCAACACATCCATTTTAAAATGGATTGGTTATGTCTATCCAAACAACTTTTTATCCGATTTTCAATATATTACTTTTATCACAAAAAGGACTAATAACAATATAAGTTATTAAAACAATCTAAAATTTTTAAGCATTTTAATACATTCTTAGCGACTTCTCGAGGTTGAAATAGTTGCCCCGTTTGATCAAGTTTCAATTTTAACCAAGACTTAAATTTAAAATGCTTAGAAAAATTACAAGAAAATCGCTTTTTGCAATCTTGAAAAGATTTGGACAAAATATCATTTTTAACATTGATATTTTATTTTATTTTTCCAAAATCACACAGAATTATAAACTATGACGTTCTTTCTTGAACTTAAATCCCATCTCATCTACACCCCACCCCAATTTTTATATAAACCAACTTTACATAGAGTTAAAATACATAATGCATTCAATACGCAGTGCCAGTCCATCCCCATCACCAATGATGTGACATAAAAGTCAAAATGTCAAGAATGTGATATAAAAGTCAAAATCAACACTACTGTTGTGTCATGAGTTATGACAACATATTTTTGACTAAATAAGCACCCCATAATTGACAACACATTCATTACAATCAAGAAAAGTTTGGATTTTTTTGCCATCTTTCAATAATAAATGGGGTGACATCCAATTAAATATTTCCAAATTCGGATCATACCCCACTCATCTCACCCCACCCCACCCCCACCCCAACAAACCTTTGCCATATTTAGCAAGATCCAACACCATTTATATTTCATAACTCAAAATCCCACAAATTAATTTTAATAACAACAATTCTACCATCAAAGCTCTTTCATCCTTCAAATTAATCCAACATTCAACAATGGTGACTTTGTTTTTACCCCATATGACTGACCCAAATTACTATTACACTAATCTAGTCAAACAAAGAAGAAACCAAAGAACAAAGAACAAAAACGACAATTCAGAAGAATTAAAAAAAAAAAAAAAAAACACTTGACCCTTTCTTTTGAAGGATTGTAAACCCCATAATTTTAGCTCCAAATATCCCCTAAACCCATTAAAATATATACAGAATTTTAATAACAACAATTCTACCATCAAAGCTCTTTCATCCTTCAAATTAATCCAACATTCAACAATGGTGACTTTGTTTTTACCCCATATGACTGACCCAAATTACTATTACACTAATCTAGTCAAACAAAGAAGAAACCAAAGAACAAAGAACAAAAACGACAATTCAGAAGAATTAAAAAAAAAAAAAAAAAACACTTGACCCTTTCTTTTGAAGGATTGTAAACCCCATAATTTTAGCTCCAAATATCCCCTAAACCCATTAAAATATATACAGAATATTTTTCAGGCGTTTGCAGATTGAGAAGGTAACCTTGGGTGATTATGTTCCCCTTCATAGGTGACTATGAGCATTGTTGAATCTTCCAAGCACCTTTCCACATGTTTTCTTGCTGGACAACCTCTCATACTGCTACACTTATAATAACCCCTGTTCACAAACATGAAAAAATAATCATTACCCATTTCAGAAACGCAAAAACCCATTTCAAAAACAGCAAAAAAGATTCATTTAAGATTTTGAATTTACAAAAAATCTGAATCTTTTGAATCAAAGTAACCTGGGATGAGGAGAACCCTTGATGGGCTTCTGTCCGTACTTCCTCCAAGAATACTCATCAGGGGGAATATCTGCAAGCTTGTTACTAATGGCAGGTACTTTGATTGACCTCTTAATCCTATGTTTTCTGGTCAACAAAACAAAATTAGTCAAATTAGACCCCATAATAAAACAAATTTACTTTCATAATTATGAAGCTACTGACCTCTTTTTGGAGCAATGACATCTACCAGAACTTCCACATTTCACACTCCCATCATCTCCCCTGACCGAACACCGCCTTTTGTGTTGATACGAGGCTTGGTCAGCTGACCGGGTTGACCCGATCAACCGAAAAGAGCTTCCATCCAAATTAGCAACACTCCCTTCAATACTCAATGAAGACATAAAAGATCTATTGGATGACATTGTAGGGGTGCAAGTTGAGCTGTCAAAATTCAAGCTAATCCCGCTGTTACTACGCCGATACATCATTTCAGCTTGTTGTTTGAGCTTTTGTTGTTGAAGGAAATGGTAATTAGAAGAAGGGTGAGGGGTATTTTGGGAAACTTGAATGGAACACTTACCATTTGAGTTTAATTCGAGTGAAGGGTGATGATGGTTAGCTAAAGAAAGAGTGCTCTTAACAACATTTGAACCAACTTCTTGAATTGGGTGCGAATCTAAAAGAAGTTGAAGGGGTTTTGGTGGATGATGGTGGGTTGTTATGGTGGTGGGGGTGTCTAAGAGTATGTTTTGGGGTACAGGGGTTGAATTTTTTTTGACCATTCTAACCCTAGCATGACCTAAACCATTATCGAGTAAAGATACAACTTTGTTGAACCTAACTACTGCATCCCCTGTTTGCACCATTAAGTTTTTGTACTGAACTTGATCTTGTGGCTGAGCCAAAAGGCTGAGGATTTTATGGCAACTCTCAACAGCAGCTCTATTAGCAGCTTCAACCTCTTCCATATCTCCCCTCAAAATCAAAAATCCAAGAAACTCAACTTCTAATGTAAAACACTAAAACCCATAACAGAACTGCAAATTTAACAGATCATAACTCATAAAAGGGTCAAGAGGAGTTTTTTTTTTTTTTTTTGAAAGATGAAATTTAAACTACTTGCCTTCTTTTTTCTGTGATTAAGGGTGAATTAGGGCGAAACTGTTAGTAAGATAACGAAAAATGAAGAAAACCCAGATACAAACAAGGATACAAACAATTCCACTCAAGAAAACACGAAAAATAATGTTATAATCTTGGTAAAAGAACAGACCTTTTCCAAGAGGATTGTAAAAACCCTAGAACAAGATTCTTTAAATCACCATATGGGGTTGTGGGATTAAGAGAAATAGGTGTGAAAGAGAAGACTTTTGTTGCTTCACGCAGAGAATTCACACACCCAAAAGAAAGAAAAATGCCATGTTATTATTTTAAAATCTCTAATTTTCTAGAGAGAGAAAGAGAGAGAGGAACTGCTGTAATAAAGACGAGAGAGAGGGTTTGAGAAAAATGATTAAGGATTAAATAAAGAACAAGTAGACCAGCAGAGATAAAACTCCCGTCTGTATCACATACTTCAAAAGTGGGTCCATTGCAAACTCGAGAATATATATATATATATATATATATATATATATATATATATATATATATATATATATAGAGCTAGGTTCAAATGTTTTTAGCAAGTATTGTGTGCATGTATGCACCAATGAGAATTCAAGAAAAAAATAAATCATTAATGTAAAAAAAAGGGTAGATGAGTCATTTTGTTTTTATAAACTAAAAATAAATTCTTATATATTTGGTATATCCCTTAAATCACATCTACTATTATTTGATTTATTTCAAACCATCATATCCACAACCCTGAATGCACAAAGAGGGGACGCGTCTTCTTCAACAGATCGGGAATAAGGAACGATTGAATGGGAGCAGTCAAAAATCAAGGGCACTAGTGAGGGTCAAACAGATTCGCAAGGAGGGCTGAGAAAGGGACTTCGGTCCTCATCGTCGTCTTCATCAGATCGAGAAGGCATCAGGCGATTGAGGGAAGTCGAATGGTGGTCCGGTGGTTCAGAAATCGTGATGGGAGGGAGGCGGCTGCAAATTGAGGGCGGACTGTCGATCCTCGGCCATCCATCGTGGGTTCCCATCTCGTCCGTGCTCTCTGTAGGGAAATCAATTCATGGCAGGTAACATATATGTTTCAAATATTTTTATGATTTTTCAAATTCTTTTGCTCATCTATGATATGTCCTAAATGCAGGTTATTGTTTGCTTGTAAACCAATACATGCTGGTGATTGCATACTGAAAGTTCCTTACACCGTGGTATGCTTTACTGAAACTTTATAACTCTTTGGTGCTCCATGATTATAAATCCCAAATTCTGTCATATGTGGACATTTTTGCAGCAACTAGCCCTAGATAATCTACTTCCTTCAGTAAGTTCTTTGTTAGGAGATGATGTTACTAATGTTGCAAAGCTTGCATTGGTCATCTTAATGCACCAAAAAACTTGGTCAGGTACCAATTTTGTACATTTTTTCTCTCAAACTGTTTGAGATGACATTCCATGTGGTTCCTTGTTTATCTTCTCTTCATTAATGCAGGCTTCTGAATGGGCCCCTTACATCAATTGTTTGCCACCAGTTGCAGAGATGCATAACACATAATTTTCCTTTTTTACCCTTTTAGTAAGTCACACATTTGATGACAAATTTCCCTTGTGTTGTTTACCTAAAGCATAGTGTTTATATCTGTAGATAGTTTGGAGTGATGAGGAATTAAAGATGATAGGAAAAGTAAAAAACATTGCAAGATAGGAAAAATGAAATACATTCTGTTAGAATCTGGTCATGTGGTATGTATTCTGTCAAAACTCTTAGAATGTCTATTATTCTGACAGAATTCGATTTCAATCTCATTATTTGTCAAGATAGGAAAAGTAAAAAACATTGCAAGATAGGAAAAATGAAATACATCCTGTTAGAATATGCTATCATTCTCTATTATATAGTTTCTATTAAATAAGTAATGCTTGTATTCTGTCAGAATTTATTTGTATAAATGCATTCTGTTAGAATGTCTTTTGAGAATGTTTGTTAACAACAAGTACATTAGCTTCACTGGTAATACTAACGAATAATGCATCTTATTCTTTCAGAATGGCTTGAAGAAGGAATTCAATATTGATCATACAAGAGAAAGATCATGTGAATTGGTAGAAGATCATGTGTATTTGCTTAATAATTGTATATTTAAGAATGTTATTTCTTAATATTTTTATTCATTTTTGATGATATTCTGTTAGAATATGTATAACTATATTAAATTGTATAAGATTATTAGTTTGTAAGAATATGTATGATTTTGTATTCACGTTCGAATGTATATGAAGAATATATGTTGAATTATTAAATCAGGTTAATTATCAAAAATATATGCATTGGAAATATATCCGCAAGAATAAAATCGAAGATATCTTTACTAATTAATGTTTGACATTCTGACAGAATAAAATCGGATTTTTAAATTTGAATTAATTTAAAATATTCAGATTTTTAAAAATAACGGAATTAATTATCCCTAAAAATCCGAAAATTTCCTTTTTTAATATAGGTTAATTGACTAAAATGCCCTTATGCTGGAATTTGTGTGATTATATGGTACATGTTATCATATTCTACTATCATAGACCCTCAGATCATGACATTTGATTATATTTCATCCAGATCTGTGCATTATGGCACACAATAGTTACTAGAAACAAAATAACCTAACCCTATATATATATATATATATATATATATATATATATTCTTATATTTTATTTTTATTTATATTCCACCAATATAAAATTTTGAGATATGTAAGCATTTACGTACATTTAATAAAATTAATAGTACTTTAATCTACTTGTCACCATTTAATATGGATACAAAAATAATAAAAAGAAAATATAAAACGATATTTAATTTCTCATACAAAAATAAAAAATTACTAATCAGTCCAATTTGCTAATGACTACTTATTTAATAGCTAAAAATTAGTCAATAGTTAAAAAAAGTCATTCAAACTCAGAACATGCCTGCGGTATGCCCACTCAGTTGTGGTTTCGCATGAGATTATTAAAAAAAAATCAATTTTTTGCACAAAATCACGGATGAGCATACTCAGCTACGGTATGTCTCACTCAGGTGCGATTTGGAATTTGGACGAACACCATTCATGGACATGAACAAAACCGCAAATAACTCACGATGTTCTTCGTCTAATCCATTAAGCACTTCCAATATTTTATGACACGAGCCTTTAACCGAAACACTAGCTATTAGTTGTTTGTCCGCATATTGAAAAATAAATAAACACTAAAATTAAAAAAAATAATAATAAAAAAAAATAAAAAAAAAACATTTCGTCGTTCTTTCAATTGCTATTTGTTTCTTGGCATTCAAATGTTAATTCGTTTAAAGTACCGAATCAACCCAAATATTATACTACATAATAAAATGATATCTCTATACATGATACAAACTAAAAAATGAAGAAGAAGAAGAAGAAGATCGAAAACTGCAGATGGACATGTCATATGCGGTGTACAAACTTCTAATGCAAATTCAATGCATTTGTAGCTTGTACACCGGGTGGCAAACCCCATCAACGATTTGTTAATTTTTTTTTTGTTTTTTGCAAACTTCAAATTTTAAGGCCTTTCCATAGGAAAAAAAAAAGAACTTGAATTAGATTTATGGAATGATGTACTCAAATAGATGGTCACAATAATCTCTTTCTTTTTCTTCTATTTCGGTTCTATTGATCAAAAGGTCATCATGGACCAAGATCCATGAGATCAATCTTTTATACTGATGCATCGTACTCTCACGACCCGGTCATTATACGAAAAGACTGCAAAAATCTTTCTGAAATGTTATAAAGTGGTATACGCGCTACAACTAACATAACAACATCTTCCTTGCCCCCTAAGAATCCAGGGGTGGCATTTGGATGTTGTCGTGGCACGTTGGTGTAAAAGACCTGATAAATTATGTGTGTGTGTGTGTGTATATATATATATATATATATATATATATATACTAGTTTATAACCCGTGGGAACCACGGTTACAAAAATAATTAAACTTTTATAGTGAGAACTCAAAATTATTAATCAATTATTTTAAATAAATTATTAATTAAGAGATATTTTTTTAGTTATATAAAATTATAATCGTTAATTTAAATAAGTACGTGAAATTATATCATCTTATATCTTTATTAATTTTATTTTAATTTTATTCTAATGTTATTAATTTAATGTAATTAGAGTGGGAAATTTAAATTTTGAAATGAAGAATTAATAGGTTGACAAGTTTTTTTTTGAAACGGCAAATCTAACCTACTCCTAAACTACACCTTAAATCCACCTATGTCCACGACGGGACTTGAACCCTCAACCTCAAGGAGGGAAGGCGACACCGGATACCGTTGGGCTAGAAGCCCTTTGGTAATAGGTTGACAAGTGGCATACATTTATTAGGAGGCCTAATAGAGTGACACATGGCAAAAGAAAAATAAAATATGCATTAATTAAGAGACCTAATAGGATGACACATGTCAAAAGGATATTAAAATTATTCTTTTATTAGAATAGGGATATATATATATATATATATATATATATATATATATATATATATATATATATATATACCAAATTTAAAAAATTTACGTGTAGGTAAAATGGTTTACTTTTTTTTTTGCATTTAAGGTCATCGAGTATTGGTATCACCAAACACAAATATGGTGGGTATGACGTCACCGACACTTCATCACCACAGAAAACCACATTATTTTAGTATATCCACCACTATACATCACTATATTATTCTCTTATTTTTTTAATTATATATATATATATATATATATATATATATATATATATATATATATATATATATATATATATAAAGAGAAAGTGTGTAACGTCCCAAAAATAAGACCATAAAATTTTAACGAAATAAGTGTATTAGCATCATTTCAAATCAGAGTAAATTATAAAATGCGAAAACATGTGGTGCGTGCTCTGCAATCATCCGAAGCTCCCTTGATTGAAAACCGAAGTACCTGAAACGTAAACTGAAAACCGTAAGCACAAAGCTTAGTGAGTTTCCCCAACATACCACATACATAACAAACATACTGTCGAGCATATCACAACCTTTCCAAGGAAACTGAAACCAAACCTAGCCAAACTCTCTAAACCCGAAGAAGAACAAATCATTAATTCCTTGCAGAAAACCACATCTACCTTTCTGAAGCCTGAAATCTCAAATTGGTCTGACTTCCCGACAGACCGCCCATACTGAACCACTACCATGTCGAATCCTCATAGAATACCAGACTAAACAAAACACTTCCAACCCTAATTATCTCGATGCTTCCATTTGGGAACAAAATCACTGACCATATACAACAGCAGAACACTTATACTTGACAGAAGGCTCAGATAATCCTTCGAGTAGAAGATTCATCCTTGCAACGGTTAGACTCAATCGAGAGCTGCGCAACATGGTCAAATCAATTACTCTGAGATTATTTAATCCAAACTGGAAGTGACCTAGCATTTCTCCAGAATAGCAAGCGACTCAACACAAGAATCCCAAATCACTAATATTACCCGAATCAACGTGCTATTCCCTTGCTGCTTTCCACAAGCAGTCGAGACCTTCCTGGTCCCAACTTGTCTGTCAACTATCTGAAACACTGGATTCCCGCCCAGTTGTTGGGTCAAAAGACACACACGCACAGTCGCTCCACGCAACTTCCAAGAGAAAATCTCATCTGGCGACAAAATCCCAAATTGACTCGCCACCAATCCTAATGCTAAAATGAATGCTACATGACCAACTGTAGTCTTATATCATACCTGGTCTCCAATGACCTACTACTTCCTGGTTCCAAGTATGTTGTGGCCCTCCCACAGCCTTACGACCTGAACCACCCTGGTCTAAACCATCTGAAGAAATCCATGACCGATCATAGGTTTGCCATACCCTCACTGCTGTACCGCGGTCGGTGAATGCTACAGGCCACCCCACAGTCTTACAACACTTCCTATTTTTTCATGGCCACCGCCCATGGTCTTACCGCTCATCTGTCATTCCATACACATCAGATTCGGACACGTACCTGACCAAGCGCCCAAGCTGGACTCGAGTCATGCCTGTAATCCTAATCTGGGTACACCAAGACCTGCTATCCATCACCAGGAAGGCGTTAACCAGTTGTTGGGAAGTTTCCTGAACTCTCAACTCACCAAAATCCTACTCCAAACGTCCACTTGGGTCAACTCTCTTCCTGACCAGAATTTAAAACTTGCCCTCGTTCCATGCCCGATACAACTCCCGGAAATTCTGATCGATTCACCCCCATTTGGATTGGACGAAGCTCCCTCTTCCCATAATTCTGACGGATTCCCAACCTATCAAACCTCATACAGCATGAACCGCCTATGACATGCGCTTACGAATACTAACGTTCCATTACTAGACAATCTCAATGATCGCCCAACTCCTAAAATCCAAAAGAATACTCCCTGAAATTCTTAGCAAGTATGATA